GTCACTGCCCATCCAACCTGGCACCAATTCAATGTTCCAAAGCACTATTTCAAATACAATCAGGGATGGAATTCCTGGGTGCCCTGGTGAATATACGCATCTTAAAGGGTCCTCATTGCAGATGCTCCTTAAAATTTACCTTGATGACCAAGTTTTTGGGCCCTTTTTGGTACGAATTTTTATTGAGTTGCTCTCCTCTGAGTTTTCTTGTGATACTTAGGGGCAGCACAGTGGGTTTAGGAGCGGCATGGTGGCTCAGTAGTTAACACTGCTGCCTGACAGTGGTAGGGGCCTGGGTTTAATTTCACTCTCGAGTGACTGCCTGTGTGGAGTTTACACATTCTCCCTGTGTCTGCATGGGTTTCCACCAGATGCTCTAGTTTCCTCCCACAGTCCAAATATATGCAAGTTAAGTGGATTGGTCATGCTTAATTGCCCATAATGTTCAGGGATGTGTAGGTTAGATGCATTAGCCATGGGAAATGCAGTGTTACAGGGCAAAGGTAGGGCAGATGGTTTTGGGTAGGATGCTCTCCGGAGGGCCAGTGCAGACTTGTTGGGCTGAACGACCTCTTTCCGCACTAGGGATTCTATTAAAAAAAAATCTGTTCTATCTAAACTTTATAAATGTAGTCTGTTGTCGGAATGTCATGATCTTCAAAAAGGAAATTTATAGCCCCCTCTCTCAGGCTCTGACCTCAAAAGCACAATTAACAAATTTCCAGATAGCAATGAGTATTAATTAAATGATAAGAAATAAAGTAGAAGTAGAATATTTAACCCTCTGAGTCTGCTCTACCATTCAATCAGTTTGTGACTCATCTGATTGTACCCTCAAATCTGTATTCCCATCTACCCTGGTAACCTCTTACTTAATAAGAATCCAGCCACCTCTGCCTTGAAATATTCAAGGACTCTGCTTGCTTCATCCTGTCAGACGGGGTTCCAAAGACTCTCAACCCACAGAAAAAAAGAACACACTAATCTCAGCTTTGAATGGTGACCGTCTATTTTTAAACGGCGATGTCCAGTTCGAGATTCTCCCATAACTGGAGAGAGCTTCTCCCTATCTGGCTTTTCCAGGAAATGGGCCTGTACTCATTGGCCTTTAGAATAGTGAGACTTGATCTGATTAAAACATACAAGATTCTTAGGGGAAAACACAGTGTGGAGCTGGAGGAACACAGCAGGCCAGGCAACATCAGAGGAGCAGGAAAGTTGATGTTTCGGGTCAAGGCCCTTCCTCAGAGATTCTTAGGAGACTTGTCAGGGTAAATGCAGAAAGGTTGTTTTCTTTTGTGGGCGTTTACCACCAAAGGATATCATCTGAAAGCCAGGAGTCTCTCATTTAAGACTGTGATGAGGAGGAATTTCCTCTCTCCCAGATGGTAATGAATTAGTGGAATTCCTTACCACAGAGTTCTGTAAAGACTGGTTTGCTAAGTATGTTCAAGGATGAGATGGGCAGGTTTTAAATCAGTAAGAGAGGCAAGGGTTATAGGGAAACGCCAGGAATGTGGAGTTTTAGATTATTAGTCATGTTCTCAATAATTAGTGGAGTAGACTCAATGGGCTGAATGGTCTATTTATTGTCTTGAAATTCCGCAAACCTGTCATCAGATATGAAAGGAATTTGATTTGTCATAGCTAGTGGATCTAATTCCAACATGGAACGTGATGTACAGAAAAACAGTAAATGCCAGAATCTTGTGTTAGATTGGGCAACAACCTTGATCACAAGTGAAGACATGTTAAAAATAAGGATCAAACGAGAGGCTCCTGGTGCTTAGATGTCTTTGATTTACTGAATCCCATTTCACATGGCCTCTGGGTCCAGTAGGATGACCATGATACTGGGTGGTGGGAGATCTCCAAAATACTTACAGAACTGTGTAATAAATGCTTTTCACACAAGGTTGGGTTTTTGTTCATATTACAGATTTTGGGAGTACACAGGGATGGAACTGCACCTGGCCTAATTCTGAAGATTTGGTTCTTTGTGCCTCTGGTTAAGTGTGGACAATTTTTTTAAAAAATGAAGTGTTTTATCATACCTCACTCAATTCTTCACACTTGAACAACGCAGCAAGTCTCAATGGAATATTTCACCATGATAACAATCATAGCCAAACTCAACTCTTTAAACCCGCACGCCTGCCAGGAATGGAAATTCTGGCTACTATTCTGGCACCAAACCCTCTCGCTGCTTCTCCATAGTTCCTCAGCTTTCTCTACTTGGGGAATACTCTGGTCTCTTGACCTTTTTTCGCCTCAAACCTTGTGTTTCCCCACCTTAAACTGTATCTGCCCCAGTTTCTCCCACTCACACAATACCTCATTGCTCTTCCACAACTTTCTGCACCTAACAATTGTGTCACATAACACAGTTTCATCATCAAACTTGAATATAGGGTCAGGGTCAGTTCATTTGTCAGTAGAACTACCCGAAGAAAATGAACACCAGGACTGCCTGATTTGGTCATCAGTGGATTAAATCAATTGATTAATCATCTGAGAAAGATCTACCCTCAGACATTGTGGGAGAACATATAGAGGACCACACATCTGAGTGTGCAGGATAACATTAAGCCAAAAGAATAACTTTCCCTGGAACAACAACTACATGGCAGAGTTGGTGAGAAATTTCTGTTGGCAATCTTACTGTGAGAATATTTAATGTGCTTCTATCGCAGCTTTTGCTAGGGGTGTCAGTCTGTTTTAAGTGTAACTCCTTTAATTCATACTAGATACTCAGCCCAAGGCTGTCATCTGTATTACATATTAAAATGATTCTTTAAAACCACTTGAGCTATGGTTTTGATGTCAAGGTACAACACAAGTCATACTACATGCAAGAAATCTCTTCCGTTATAGGTAAAACAAGTTTCTTCTTCTGCCTAGTGTCTGTTCCCTTCAGCCCACATCCAACAGCACGGTGGCTTGTGGTTAGGACTGCTGCCTCACAACACCAGGGACCTGGGTTCAATTCCCACCTTGGATGACTGTCTGTGTGGAATTTGCACATTCTCATTCTGTCAGTGTGGGTTTCCTCTGGGTATTCCAATTTCCTACCACAGTCCCAAGATGGTGAGGTGAATTAGCCATGATAAATTGCCCATAATATCCAGGGATGTGCAGGCTGGGTGGTTTAGCCATGGGAAATACTGGGTGATAAGGTAAGGGGGTAGGTCTGGGTGGGATGCTGTTCGGATGGTCAGTGTGCACTCGATGGCCCAAATGGTCTGCTCCCATACTGTAGGGATTCTATGACTGCTAATCCTGTCTTTCTTTAAAATTAATTTATGGGATGGAGTGATGCTGGCTGGCCAGCATTTATTGCCCGTCCCTCGTTGCCCTTGAGAATGTGGGGGTGAGCTGCCTTCTTGAACTGCAGCAGTCCATGTGCTGTGGGTTAATCCAAAATTCTGTTAGGGAGGGAATTCCAGGGTTTTGACCCAACTCCAGTGAAAGAATGATGATATATTTCCAAGTCAGGATGGCAAGTGGCTTGGAGGGGAACTTGCGGATAGTGGTGTTCCATGTATCTGCTTTCCTTATCCTTCTAGATTGGACGGTGCAGTCTAAGGAGCCTTGGTGAATTTCTGAAATTCGTAGACACTGATACGACTGAGTGCCAGTGTTGGAGAGAGAGGATGTTTATGGATGTGGTGCCAATCAAGTGGGCTGCTTTGTCCTTGATGGTGCCAAGCTTCTCAAATGGTGTTGGAGCTACACTCATCCAGACAAGTGGGGAGTATTGCATCACACTCCTGACTTGTGCCTTGTAGATGGTGGGAGGCTTTCAGGAGTCAAGTTAATTACTCCCTGCAGGATTCCTAGCATCTGATCTGTTCTTGTCGCCACTGCATTTATATGACTATCAATTCAGTTTCTGGTCAATGGTAATGGCTAGGAATGATAATCAGGAATTCAGTTATGGTAGCACCATTGAAAGTCAAGGGATAATGGTTAGACTCTGTCTTACTGGTAATGGTCATTACCTGGCATTTATGTGGTGCAAATTTTACTTGCCACTTATCAGCCCAAACCTGGATATTGTCCAGATCTTGTTGCATTTGAACATGGAGTGCTTCAGTATCTGACGAGATGCAATGGTGCTGAACATTGTGCAATCATCAGTGAACCTCCCCACTCGGACTGAAGGTCATTGATAAAATGACCGATGGTGGTTGGACCAAGGGCACTACCCTGAAAAGTTCCTGCAAAGGTGCCCTGGAGCTGAGATTACAGACCTCCAACAACAACAATCATCTTTGTATATGCCAAGTATGACTCCAAGTCAGTCTCAGCTAATAGCACCCATTTCCAAATCCAGAACTAGTGGGTACACATTGCATTCTTAGGACTTGCGTGCAAAATCTAAGTTGACAATTTGAAGCAGTTCTGTAGAACTGCCACACTTTCAGAAGTCTTATCTTCCAAATGACGTGTTTATCCAAGGCTCCTGCCTGCCGTCTTTGGTGGATGTCAAAGACTATGTTCCAAGAAAAGCAGAACAGTTCACCTGTGCTACCTGACCAAATCTATCCCTCAAAAAAGAACAGCTTATCTGGTCACTACCGCTTTGCTGTTTGTGTGAGTTAGCTATGTACAAACTGGTTGCCATTGTTTCCCCTATCAGTTCAAAAGCACTTCACTGTCTGTAAAGCAAGTCCTGACGTTGTGATAAACAGAAAATAAATCTGAATCTTTCCTTGTATCACTTCTCTTTTCTATCCCTTTCTTTCTCTCACCTTATTCAATCTCCCCATCTCTCTCTCTTACCTCCCTACCCCAGACATTCAGTTCCCTTACCCCAACTTCCTTCTCTCTTTACTTTCCTCTGTCTGCATATATGGTACCTGGGAAGATGGCCTTACAGAAGGAGACAGTGTGCCCACTGGATGTTGAAAAGGTAAAAGATCACAGGCCCCGTGAATGCCAGGCTTTTTATAGAGATCCACCAGGACCCAGAATAGCTGTTTCTAGCACCCTCTTACCTCCAACTCTCGGAGAACGGGGTGGTCTTCAATTCCCGGGAAGAGAACTCGCATGGTATAGGCCCGGTAATCCAGGAAGGGGATCCCTGTAGCGTCTAAATCACTGGTCAGCTCATTGATATCCGTCTGTAACTCTGCGAAGGCTGCCAAAGAAGAGTACCACAGAATGAAAAGGGCTCGGCAAAACACACGGGCGACCCAATTAATTACAGAGCTATTAACAAAATGAACACCACAATGAAACATGCTGATGGGATAATGATGGCTTGTCTACTAAAAGTAAATAGAAATTATTTTATTTTAGTCTCACCCATCAAGACCGTAAAGTCTGAGCTCTGTGCCAAAATACCAGGAGTTTCAGGAACCAGAGTGTCTTGTTCTACCATATCTTCTACAATATTTAAGGGAATGCAGGAACAGAAATGCTTGAGGCTTAATGTACATATTTTTTGTTTAGGATGCCAGATTAAGTTGATAAGTCTGCTAGGCTACCATTAAGTTTTCCTTGGGTTCATAGATAGAGTAATAGAGTACAAAACAAGAAGGTTGTGCAATAACTAATTTCGAAAGATAGCACCTCTGTCATCGCAGCACTCCCATGGTGTCACTCTGGATGCTGAGTCTCAATCATGTCCTTAACTCTCCGTGGAGTGGAATTTGAACCCACAACTTTCTCACTTAGAGACAAGTGTAATAAATAGATTGGCATCATTAATGAAATCATGGAGCACAGATGAAGGTCATTCAGCCAGTACTGGCTCTTCAGTTAGTACTACTCCACTATTCTTTCCCTGTAACTGTAGATGTTTTCCATTCAAGTAATTACCCGTTGCCCTTTTGAAAGTTATTATTGAATCTGTTTTTATTATCCTTTCAGGGAATGTATCGCAAAACCAAAAAATGTCTCCTAGTGTTGCCTCTGGTCTGCTTGTCAATCACCACAAACCTACATTTTTTGTTATTCTTTTCAGGGATGTAGCCATCACTGGCAAGGCCAGCATTCGTTTCCACTCCCTAATTGTCCTTGAGAAGGTGGTGGTGAACTGAATTCGGAAAACAAGACTGCAGTTCATCTGGCGTGCCACACTCTCAATGTTATTCAAAGGAGAATTTCTGGATTTTGACCCGGTGACAATGAAGGAACAGCAATATAGTTCCAAGTCAGGATGGTGTGTAGCTTGGAGCGGAACTTGAAGAGGTGATGGCATTCCCATTCACCTGCTGCCTTTGTCCTTCTGGGTGTTTTGAAAGGTAATGTTGGAGAAGTCTTGTTGAGTTGATACAGTGCCTCTTGTGTGCACTACCAAAGTGCAGCTGCTGTGCGTCAGCAGTGGGGAGAATGAATGTTTAATGTGGTGAATGCGTGCATTTCTTGCATTTCTTGATATGACAAAGATTGAATGAAATTGACTGGAGGTTGGCAACTGTGATGCCAGGGACTTCAAAAAGAAACTGAGGTGGATACTATTCCCTTTTGTCACTGACTATTCTGTTTATGGAAGATGTTATTCATATTTCCTTTATCAAAAGTATTCCTGATGTTGAACAGTTTTAGAAAATTTCCTCTTACCCTTCTCTTCTCTAAGGAAAGCAACCTCAGCTTATCCAGTCTCTTCATAAAATACAGGTACCATTTCAGTAACTCTCTTCTGCATCTTCTCCAACACTCCAACTGTTCAGAACTGAACATAATACTCCATCTGAGTCCTAACCAGTAGTTTATAAAGGCTTGGTTTAATTTCCTTGCTTTTGTACTGAGGTCTCTGTTGTTAAAGCCAAGAACGCTATGTGCTTTTTAACAGCTTTCCCAACTTCCTCTGATACTTCCAATGATTTTTGTAAATGCATCCTCAGGTCTGTTCCTGAACCCTGTTAAAAATACATCTTAATTTATTTTGCCTCTCTTTTTATTAAAGCACTTCACTTTGTGCTAAAGTTCATTTATCATGTGCCTGCCAACTACACCAGTCAATGTCCTCCTAAAGCCCCTTACTGACCACTTCCCTGCTTATTACATTGTTGATCTTTGTGTCATCTCTAAATTTTGAATTTATGTCCTTTGTATCCAAGTCCAGATCACAGTCACATATCGAGACAAGCTGTGGTCCTTTCCTAATCCAAATCCTGGGTGAATACTACTGTATACTTCTTTGGCTAAATGGATTTCTTCTTTACTGAGTTTCTTATAAAATTTAAAGTAACAGTTTTTCATAGTTACAGAAAGTGCAAGAAAAGCTCAGCATGCTTGGCATCATTATGGAGTCAGAAACATTTTGACTCGTCTTTGGTTTATAGTTAGTTTGCAACCAGCCATGTAACGGTATGGTGTGCCATCCATCAAGAGTACTAGACAGCCATCTGAAAGGTTCTGAAAGGACACAAAGAAACTTTGAGGTAACTACTCAATTTACCTTCTTTACATTCCAGAGCTACCCTGGACTCCAGGTTGTCCATCTGCATCTGTAATCTCTTCAGCGTCAAGTCACTCTCCCGGGACTTCCTCTTGTAGGCGACCAGTACCACAATGATAAAGATGATGAGAAGACCCCCAGCCGCTCCGATGCTGATAATGGCTGGGAAGCTCAGTGGGCTGTCTGGGAAAATGTGCACCGTCCCAGGGGAATATTCCAGGCCTCCGACCCGTGCCTAAGAGGGAAAATATCAGTTCATTACTTTTAAATACTGTCAACTCAGTTTAGACCTATCTCAAGGAGAATAACTGCAGTGGGCAGCAACTGAAACAAGGGTGTGTATGATTTCTTTTGACGGTCAATGATTCTTTAATTGCTCGATAGATAGAAAAAGAAAGACAGACAGAGGGAAAGATAGACGGAGAATAGAAATCCAGATAGATTAAACAAAAAGATACTGGAGGCACAGACAGGTGACAGAAAGTTATATGTACTTTTCAATGTTGAATGGTTTGAGAGATATAGCACAGAATAAAGCAAATTTCTGTCTAGAACAGCTTCACTCAATCATTCTGTAAAACTAATAAAATGCCGCACATCTAATATGTTCCTTGAATTATTCCACAACATAAATAATAATTAATGAATGTATTTATCATATTATATCACTGTGAAAGCATTGTTTTTAATGACTTATAATTGATGTTGTTTATCCTTAGGGCCCGTCAGTAAAAATAAATCTAACCACTTTAGCCCTGGCAGTTTCTCTGACCATCAATCACTGCACCTATCTCCATCACTCCTTACTGTAAGAGTGGTGTACTGCCCAGATCCTCCTGTCTGGAGATTAGCTGTCTGGGTCTCTCTACGTCACTATCTATGCATTTTACTCTCCAGCACAGAAGCAGGCCATTCAGCTGAATTCACCTATGCAAGTGTTCATGCTCCACTCAAGCCTCCTCTCACCCTATTTCACTCACCCATCACTATTTCCTTTTAATCCCTTCTCCCTCTTGTGGTTAAGATGCCTTTAATGCATCAATGATATTCACATCAGCTATTTATTGAGGCAACAAATTTGACATTCTAGCCACAGAGGTGTCTCCTGAATTCCCTATTAGATTTCTTGATCATCATCTTTCATTTTATTCCCCTTTCATTTAGGTCCGTCCCACAGAACAAAGAACATATAACAGCACAGCACAGGAACAGGCCCTTTGGCCCATCATGTCTGTGCTGACCATGATGCCATTCTAAGCTAATCCCATTTGCCTGCACATGATCCATATCGCTCCATTCCCTGCCTGTTCATTTGTCTGTCTAAATGCCTCTTAACTGTTGCTATCATATCTGCTTCTAACACTTTCCATAGCAGCGCTTTCCAGGCACCTACCACCCTCTGCGTAAAAAACTTGCTTCGCACATCTCCTTTAAACAAACTCCCTCTCAGCTTTAACCTGTGCCTCCTGGAATTCGACATTTCCACCCTGGGAAGAAGACTAACTATCCACCCTATCCATACCACTCATAATTTTATATATTCCTAACAGGACCGTATCTCAGCATCTGACACGTTAATGGAAACAGTCTGAGTTTGTACAACCCAAACAGAAGTTGCTAGAAAAGCTCAGCAGGTCTGGCAGCATTCGTGACGAGAAGTCAGAGTTAACATTTCGGGTCCAGCAACCCCTCTTCAGAGGAAGGGTCACCGGACCTGAAACGTTAACTCTGATTTCTCTTCACAGATGCTGCCAGACCTGTTGAGCTTTTCCGGCAACTTCTGTTTTGATCTCTGATTAACAGCATCTGAAGTTTTTATTGTGTTTGTATAACCTCTCCTTATAGCTAATGCACTCCAATTCATGGCGAAATCCTGGGTAAACCTCTTTTGCACCCTGTCCAAAGCCTCCACATCCTTCCTATTGTGTGGTAACCAGAACTATGCACACTACTCCACATGTGGCCTAACTGAAGTCTTATACAGCTGCAACATGACTTGTCAACTTTTATACTCAATGTCCTGACCAATGAAGGCAAGCATGCCATATGCCTTCTTGACCACTTTATCCACTTGTGTTGCCATTTTTAGGGAGCTATGGACTTGCACCCCAAGATCCCTTGAAGGGTCCTACCATTTACTGTATACTTTCTTGTTGCATTTGACTTCCCAAAATGTAATACCTCACAACTTGTCTGGATTAAACTCCATCTGCGAACTTTCCAACTAATCTATATCCTGCTGTATCCTTTGATAACCTTCCTCACTATCCACAACACCAAATTTTGTGCCGTCTGCAAACTTACTAATCAAACCATCTGTATTTTCATTCAAATCATTTATATATATTGCAAATGCTTGGGTGGGACCATCATGACAGAAGGTGAAATTTGAATCCAATATTAATCTGCAATTTAAAAACAAAGGTCAAAAAATGGCAACCATGTACCCATTGTGAATTGCTGCAAAACACTATCCAATGTCCGTTAGAAAAGAAAATCTACCATCCTTACCTAGTCTGACCTATATGTGACTCCAGATCCACAGCAACGTGGTTGACTATTAAGTCCATTCTGGGCAGAATTTTAGGCAAAATGCTGGCCTGGCCAGCCACACCCACATTCCATGAATAAAATATGAATTGGATAAAAAAAAAGGCTCAACTGCATAGAACCATCAATGGGCTTCTTCCAGGGGCCCACAGTTTCCAAAGCTTTTTTTTAAGCCCTAACCTAACTCTTAGCTGTGTCTACTGGATCCCAGGATTATTTTCCTGGACTCTTTGGAACCTGTTATAGAAATACCATTTTCAACATGGAGCCACTTTTGTTGCTCCTAAGTAGCTGACTGACCAATAGCCTAAAGATAGCAACTGTCTGCTTCAACTGCTTCCAGCCACTTGAACTGTTTCAATGAGATCTATTATCTAAACCACAGAACAAGCCCCACCTCTTGTTCCTGTTCCCTGAAAGTCACAGTATTTATAGATTGCTGCTTTACACAGTACAAATGGATGAAAAAAAAATTTTATCACAAGATTCTCCACATGAGGACCTATATATAGCATGCAGGCAATCCCACTCAGGGGGTTTTACAATCTAGCCTGACCTCTTACGTTCACCCAGCATTCACACAATATTCACAGGTTCCCTACCAGTTTCCCAAACACCAGCCTCAGAACATTGAGACCATGTGGAATATTCCTTGATTGGGCTGAGGAATCAGATCTGGAGGCCTGTTTACTCTGTATGACTCAGTTACCTAATATAATGCCATTCATGATATGACAGAAACAGTGCAAACTAGAGGGATGAGTTATAAGGGAAGGCTGGCGCTTTTTCCCTGGATGCATGAGGTTAAGGAGTGACCTTATTGAGGTTTATAAACCCATGACAGACATAGATAAGGTGAATAGCCAAGGACTTTTCCCCAGAGTACAGGAATCCAAAACTAGAGAGCATAGGTTTAAAGTGAGAGGGAAAAAATTTAAAAAGGACCTGAGTGGCAACTTCTTCACAAAGAGGGTAGTATGTGTATGGAACGAGCAGATGGAGGAAGTGGTAGAGGCGAGTACAACTACAACATTTAAAACACATATGGACAGGTATAGGGATAGGAAAGGTTTAGAGGGACATGGGCCAAATGCAGGCAAATGGGACTCAATCAGTTTAGGAAACCTGTTCAGCATGGACGAGTTGGCCAAAGGGTCTGTTCCCATGCTGTATGACTCTAGAGAATGAACAACAAACACACATGTTGAAATGAAGCTGATAATTGAAATTCACAAGACCAGAAAACGTTTACGTGTTTCAACCAGCACATGAAGCAATTCCAAACTTTCAGATTCAATCCCTTCCAGTATAAACCCCTACTCACCAGTATTCTATGCCGTCCAGTGAGATTTGGCGACTCACAAAGGAGCTGAGTGTCTGACACTGTAACAGAACACAGTTTCTCTCCAATCAGAACGGTATAATTCAGCTTCATATTACCAGCAGCAACGGAAGGGATGAGGTTCCGGCCCTGTGATGTGTACAGAGAGTAAAAGCAGAGGAAATGAGTCTGGTTTTGAGAAAATTAGTCTTGACTGGGATTTCACAGTTTAAAACTAAGGTGCCATCTGTTTAAGAAAATAGGGATTCTATTTTTTTTTCTCACACGGCATCCTGAGTCTTTGGAACTCTCTTCCTTAAAAGGTGGCAGAAACAGAATCATGGAGTTATCTTTGTTGAGGAAGAGGTAGGTGGATTTTTGGCCCGCCAAGGGGAGAAGAGGTTATCAGGAGAAAGTGGAGCAATCAGATTGGTCATGATCTTACTGAGTGGTGGAGCAGGTTTGAGGGAATGAGTGGCTTACTTCTGCTGCAGTTTTATATGCAGCAGAAAGCAACGGAGGCCAAGGATCAACCTTTTTGGAGTGCATCATCTGTCACTTTGTGGTCTTGCGATGAAATTAAGACTCAACATTCTTAATAGCTCATTCTTCCAATGATCTAATAAAACCCAGCCTGGGACACCCATCCCAGTCAGCTTCAGCAAAACGGCACAGGGCACAATTAGTCTGAATTGCAACACATTGAGGATAGAAAGCATTAATTTTACTGTTCGTCTTTATTCTACACTACCAGTGTTCAGAACCAGGTTTTTTGAATCAGCGCAGTAATGTTACTGAACTAGAAATCCAGAGACCTGGACAAATGCTGGACATCAGTTCAAATCCCACTACAGGAGCTGGGGGAATTTAAATTAATCTATAAATCTGAAATAAAGTGCTCAATTCATTGACAATAATCATGAAACAACTAGGCTGTTGTAAAAATCAAAACTGCTGGAGAAACTCAGCAGGTCTGGCAGCACCTGTGGAGAGAGAAACAAAATTAATATTTTAGTCCAATATGATTCTTACCATGTCTCCCTGATGTTGTTCATGGAAGAAATAACCTGGTCTTGACAACATATGTCTATAGACCCACAGCTGACTCTCAATTACCCTCAGGAATGTCCCAGCAAACAAGGCTAATTGTATCTAATCACTACAGGGAAGAAAAAAAGCGTTCTGGGTTTCCAAAAGGCTGCAGCAGTACAAGGAAGCAATCACCACCACCTTCTTCATGGAAATCAGGGATGGGCAATAAATGCTGGCCCAGTCAGTGACTCTCATATCCCATGAAAAGTCTTTTTAAAAATATCTCATCCTTGCTTACCTTCAGGATAATGGGAGACCCGGGTTTCAGTTCCAAAACTCCAGAGGTGCTCAGTGGTTCAAACACAGGGTTGGGGTAATATATGAAATTTGTGTTGTTGTAGATTAGCAATGTTTGCACATTGTCCAAGATAAATCCAAATTCATCAGGACGCTCTATGTTATCGGTCTGTTGGTTGGGACTGATAGCCAGGGCAGGACCCTGGCAGATCATCGTGGTTGAGTTTTGTACCGTGCATGTCTGGGGAAAGAAAAGAAACAACAATAAGAAAACTTGCTTCTTATCCTTTAGCTTTTCTTCTTGTATTGTGTTGTGGATCTGAATTCATAGAACAAATGATAGTCTCAGAGACTCTTGTGGTATTTTCATAAAATTACAGAGAATAGACTCGATTTTCCACAGGTTCGCATTTACACCCAAGTAGGATGGACTGAGATTTCTCAAGCCCCACCTACTGACTCCCTACCTTCCCACCTTAGTGCCCTGAGCACACGTCCCACTGTAATAAGCAGTATGCTTTCCATAAGTCAAATAGGCTCCAGGCAGCAGAAGGAAGTGTTTAACATTTAGAACTCACTAATGTGCTTGGTAGATGTATTGGGATGCTGCAGTACATAAAGGTCTGCAGCAACTTTTAGCCATTGAAACAACAAACATAAAATTGCACACAATTTGCAATATTCTAATGGAGGATGACCAGAGATTGTCCTCTGCCTGTACACTCCACTATGGGTCTGAGCAACCTGTACCTCAACTGCTGCCTGACCTCTGGCAAAATACCCATCACAACTTCATTCTACCTCTTAAACACTCTGATTATTACAAAGATGCCCATTTGAAGGCTCCTACTGTAGACCACAGCTAGCAGTCAACAAGGGTTCTCAATTTGGCGAAAATCTCTTTACGCTGTCGTGACATTTACAGGTTGGTCGTGCTGTTGGTGAGCTTGAAACAACTTTGCAGTCTCTCTTATTTAATGACCAAGAAGAACAGCTTTGAGGAAGTTTTGTCTTGCAGAATTAACCTTCATATCAATGGTGACAGATTACAATATAAAACAACGATTAATCCATAAAACAACATGGATCGACTTGCTTTCTCATTGCGACAAAGTACTTTCAGAAATCCTAGGGAACCACACCATCAATATTAGAAGTTTGGCAACTTGGCCCCATAGAGTTCATTATATTTGATTTGTTATTTATGCACATGTTTGTCATTCTCCCATGATGCTCATTAGGGCTGACTCTCATTAAGCATCATGTGCTCTACCTCAGAGGGCACAATGCAAGAGGAGAAATTCTCTTGACCTTCCTATTCTCTGCACTGAAGGAAGCATTTTTCAGAATCATAGAATCCCTACAGTGTGGAAGCAATCCATTCGGTCCATCAAGTCCACACCTACCCTCTGAAGAGAATCCCAACCAGACCCACCCCTCTACCCTTTCCCTGTAACCCTGCATTTCACATGGCTAGCCCTTTAACCTGCAGGTCCCTGGGCATTATAGGACAATCGAGCATGGCCGATCCCCCTCGCCTGCACACCATCGGACTGTCAGAGGAAACCAGAGCACCCAGAGGAAACCCATGAAGACACAGGGAGAATGTGCAAACTCCGCACAGACGGTTGCCCGAGGCTGGAATCGAACCTGGATCCCTGACACTGTGTGGCAGCAGTGCTAACCACTGACCCTCTGCGGTGCCCCAAAGACTTGTTTTTAAACCACAGCCACTGCATCTCGAGTTCAAAGAAGAAGTGAGTTCTTCCTGATTTTCTGAATAACATTTATCCCTCATTTGTCAAGACTTTTTTTTTTAAATGAAGGATAATCCGATAATGACCACATTTCTGAGCACAAATTGGTAAGGGGCTTTCAGCATTACACCAATCATTACATGTCAAAAATACTTCAGTACCTGCAAAGCCTTTTAGGATATCATGAGATTGCATCAGGCACTACATAGCTACAAGTTGCTCCCCGCACAGTGTAAAAGCTCACTGGCATCTGGTCTGGTGACTGGTGTGGAAATGTGTCAGTACACACACCCCACGGCACACAGACTCACAACCATTCACAAATAATACAGAACAGAAAAGCTGAGGTCGCTGCTTCTATTTGTTGACCTGGGCATGGGCAGAGCTGGATTTGGATATAATAGCTGTTGACAATCTGTTGATGTTGAATGTCATTGGGTGTGGGGTTCAGAAGTTAAGAATGGCTAACAAGGGGGTAAGTGACGGCCTGGTGGTATTATCACTGGACTACCGATCCAGAGACCCAGGTAAGGTTCTGGGATCCTGGATTCAAATCCTGCTGGGTGAGATTGAATTCAATTATAATCTGGAAGTAAGAGTCTAAAAAATGAGCGTGAAACTGCTGCCAATTGTCATAAAAACCCATCTGGCTCACCAGTGTCCTTCAGGGAGGGAATCTGCCATCCTTACCTGGTCTGGCCTACATGTGACTCCAGGCCCACAGCAACGTGGTCAATTCTTAGCTGCCCTCTGGGTAATTAAGAATGGGCAATAAATGCTAGTTCAGTCAATGTCACCCACATCCCATGAATTAGGATAGAGATGGCATCCAGCGGTTCCAGACCTTCCATGAATCAATACCCTTGGGACAGCAGATGGGGAGGCTGTTGTCTGAAAGTAATTGCTTGAACACAAGTACAAGTGGCAAATCAGTCAATGCACAGCCAGATACGGAAGTGACTTGTCAATCACTGTTTCCACTGAACCAGTGCGGCACACTGACTGCTCCTGATGGGCCTAACACTGTGAAATTAGCGCAGAAACCTTCACCAGTAACAGAAGCATCATTTCTATCACACTGACAGTGACTGAATTAGGATAGTGGCTGCTCTCCTCCCTCCCAATAGGCCTTTAGATTATAAATAGATTCCAGAATATGTTGTTAGTGATTGAACAGAGGTGCGGGACAAACGAGGGAGGAATCGATTTCAATGCAAAGGCAGCCAGGAAGATACCTGCATTATTTGCTTCCTTTTATCTAACAGTTGTATTTACACAGAAACTAGGAGGAGGAGATCATTTGGTCCTATGAGTTTGCTCCATCAATAGATCTGATCATTCCATCTTCTATCTGAATATTACCTTCCTGCTTTCTCCCCATATCCCTTGATGCTTTTAAAATCTAAAGTAAAATCTATTTATTTCGTCATGTAATATTACATGTGCAACAGCGCAATTACACTTGATACAAAGACTCTCTCTCTCAGCAGAGGTTACAATGGACGAACAGAGCAGGAGCAGCAAACAGGGCATGTAGACCTTGCAATATATGGAAGCACAGTTAGGTCCCACGCACGGTGATGAATTCAGGCCAATCCATAAATGTCTTGGACAGACTCTACACAGATACTAGATGCCAGGCTTTATATCAAACTGCATCCATTAGTGCAAACATAGAACCAATGTAATCTACTTAAAACAATAAGCGAGCTGGGCAATAGCAACACATTTATTTGAAAATTGATAGCACTTAATCACACCACAAGTTCTGAGCTTGTTGTCATCTGGAACACTCTCTTTGTATTGACAAAAGCTGTCAATTCTACGAATAATTTTGTGACGACATTGACCAGGATTTGAGGATGAGGAGCTTTGAGAGAAAAAAGTGAGGGTTATGGACGAGGCAAAATTGCTTTAGCCGAGACGCAGCACAGGTGCAATGGGCTGACCGGCCTGCTGTATGCTGTACCTTTTCTCTATGTTTCTAAGCCTTCAATGAAAATGAATCCTGGCACCAGTGGCTGATTGGAAAACGAAGCTCTACCAACTAGGAGACTTCTCGAGTGAGACCAGATCTGGTCAGGCCAATTTTCCCTCTCCAGATATACAGATCAAGAACATAAATTTGGTCCAGCCACTGGCAGTTTGATTGCACACTTGCTAAAAACAGCAATTTGCATTTATATAGTGCCTTTAACATGGTAAAATACCCAAGGTGCTTTAATTCATGCGAGCATTTAAAAGATACATTTCTGCTGTTGGGGCACTGGCATTACTAGTCAGGTGAGCATTTATTGACTATCCTAACTTGTCCTACCATAGGTGGTGTCATTTGTTAAAGGTCAATCTCAATGATTGTGGAACGACTGTCATATGCAAGCCAAACAAGGTGGGGACAGTGGGTTCACTTCCCCCAAGGATCCCAGTGAACCAGTTAGAATTTTAGACAGAATTTTTGTGGCCATTTTTTGCCAAGACCCCAAATTTTTCCATTTCCAGTTCTGTAGAAAAGACACACATAATACAAATTTCTCACAGATAGCAAGAACTGCCGATGCTAGAGTCAGAGATAATACAGTGTGGAACTGGAGGAACACAGCAGGCCAGGTAGCATCAGAGGAGCGGGAAAGTGGACGTTTCGGGTTGGGACCCTTCATCAGGACTAGTCAATTTTTCTGCTCCTCTGATGCTGCCTGACCTGCTGTTTTCCTTCAGCTCCACACTGTATGGACTACAAAATTCTCCAATTGGCCAATTGTGGGATTTAAACTCACTGGATTCGTAGCCAAGCAAGATGACCACCCACAGTCAGAGCAGGCTATGTTTAGGGTGGCACGGTGGCTCAGTGGTTAACACTGTGGTCTCACAGACCTGGGTTTGATTCCACCGTCAGGTGAATATCTGTGTGGAGTTTGCACGTTCTCCCCGTGTCTGTGCGGATTTCTGCCAGGTGCTCCGGTTTCCACCCACAGTCCAAGGATGTGCAGGTTAGTTGGATTAGCCATGCTAATTTGTCCTGTGGTATCCAGGGACATGCAGACTAGGTGGATTAGCTTCAGTTTAAAAACCCCATACAAGTGGTGGGTCTGAGTGGAATGCTCTTCAGGTGATTGGTGCAGACTCAATAGATGGATTGAATGGCCTCTTCCTGCACTGTAGGGATTCTACGAATTTAGTTTGCAATAAGCACACATTCAGAGCCAAAACCGCCAACTGTTAATTGGCAATTCTTAATTGCCAGCAATCTGCGATCAAAAAAAAACAAGTGCTCAGTGAAGCCTCGAGTATGAGAAGGATTATGCTGGTATGGGTGAATTAAGGAGAACCCCCTCCCCCTCCCCTCACCAACTGAGATTGGGCTTGGGGGCAGGTTTTGTGCTGGAGCTAGACTCTGTCATCCTGGCTGCGAGGCTGTTCAGCCCTGACAGCATGATAACAAGGAAGCACCCTCATCGCTGCACTGATATCTAGACAATCACAAAGGAAAACTGCCAGAACAATCTGACGATCAGACTCAACATAAAGGACTCGTTACCCAGGTTCATAGATTCATACAGCACAGAAAAAGCTGTTTGGCCCATTGAGTCTGCAGCGACATAACTGCCGCTAAAACTGCGCCAAGCCCAATTTCCTGCACTTGTCCCATATTCTTGAATGTTATGACATTTCAAGTGCCCATCCGAATTTTTTTTTAATGTTGTAAGGTTTCCAGCCTCCAGGCAGTGCATTCCAGATTCACACCATTTGCCAAGTTAAAAAGTCTTTTTTCCCCAAACCCCCTCCAAATCCCCTGCCCTTACCCTAAAGCTACGTCCTTGGAGGCTGGATTATTTTTAAAAAATTAGAATTCAACAGGAATGATTTACAAAAACAGTTTCTGCAAACAAAAGCCGACATTGATTTTTCCTCTTTCTTTATAACGCGTCTATCATTTTCTCAGATGAAATGCTCCATGCTTAATTTTAATCGATTCATCCAGGGTTCCGAGGCAGAGCCAATCACAGGCCCCCTTCCCTGTTTCCCTGCTGTTGCAGAGAATTGCACTGGAGAAAGTCATCAGGGGCCAGGGTTGGAGCTTTCCATTCTGCCAAATGTAATACTGCTCTGTAATCTTACAGGCTATTTACAACTAATTTGGGAAATTGTGTAGATGGTCATCTTAGCTGTTATATAACTTTACAACATTAGCTGCAGCTATTTATCTCTCGGTGTTTGCAGCAGGCTCCTATTAGTCTCTCAGGTGCTCAGGGTGGGGGTGAGGGGCTCATCCAACAGCTGAAGGAGACATTCGGCCCATCGTGCTTGTCTTGGCTCTCAGAAAGAACTGTTCAATTAATTCACAAAAGGACTATCTGGTCATTATTATGTTGCTGCATGTGGGAGCTTACTCTTTGCGAAATGACTGTTGCGTTTCATGCATGGCAACAACTACTACACTTCAATCCTTGGCTATAAACCACCTTGGAATTCCTTACGGTTGTAAACGGCGCTACAAAAATGCAAGTCTCTCTGTTTTTTGCTCTTGGTTCTGGATGACAGTGGAAACTTCTAGAACCAGCTGATGCTCTGCCCTTTGAGTGTCAGCATGGTCAGTAAGAGCCCACTCAGCGGGGGCTCGGGCAGCAGGGGCACAGGCAGCGGGGGCTCGGACAGTGGGGGCTCGGACAGTGGGGGCTCGGACAGTGGGGGCCTGGGCAGTGTCGGATCGGACAGTGGGGGCTCAGACAGAGTCGATCGGACAGG